GAAAGTTAGGGTGTTTGTTTATTTATTTATTTATCTATTTATTATTTTCTGTTGCGTGTTGCTCTGCTCGATCAGAAGTTAAAAGCACTGAACATTTTTCTTAGCTGTATGCCTCCAAGCTGCTGGCCTGCCAAGTTAGTCAGCTGAATCCAATTACTGCAAGCAGCATTTCATTTGGCTCGATGGAAGCACTCACTTATAACTTCACCTAAAATTTCAATAATACCTATATTGGTCCCACGCCTGAATAATTCTAAAGATTTCCCTGGGTTCAGCTCTGGCAACGTCTTCTCCGAGCGCTGGGAGACGAGCACAACCCCAGCGTGCCCAGACTCCTCTCTCCACAATACAAACTTTGGGGGTTATTCCTGTGGCCGTGGAAGTCTTGATATTTGGCCAAGCTCTGGCTAAATAAAGCATGTTTAGAGTTAGAAGGCTATCGCTTGTGAGGCTGAGAAGCTGCTTCGGAAAGAAATGAGAAGTCGATAATTAATTAGGCACAAAATGAAAACTTACCGTGTTAATCAACAGCGGCTAACAATGACTCGGTTTGCAATATTATGATCTCCCCGCTCAGGGGCTAAGGTGCAAGCCACTTTAGGTTGCCTTCATATACCGTCTAAAGTGCTATTTCTAATGAATTCTCTTAAAAAAAAATAAAGCACTTAAAGTTGACGTACGCCCACGTGAATACATTATATAAGACGTTACCGGGACAGGCCTGGGCCAGGAACCTGAGCGAGCATCATGTGTAATCATGAAGCTCCACTTCCCTAACTCCAGTTTGCCAGCATAAATTAAGGTGATTTGGAAGGGGAATGTAGCATCCTACTGAGTTTGGTTAGGGAGAGAGAAGACTTGGTGGAAAGTTGTAAGATCTGTTGTGTTGTGAGCTATCGGAGGCGCTTCCGTTGGTTGTTCATTAAGTGGTGAGTTATTACTATACGAGCCAAAGGTCATTTCAAAGGCTTATGGTGGCTAGATATCGTCTTTATAATGACCTGGGCTTCTTTGTGGGGGATTTTCTGGCACTCTTAAGTTCTTAAAGTCCTGTATCGACACATTGCACAGACAAAGGCAAAATACTCATTTCGAGACGCAAATGTTTGCAGCGCATTTTCGATGCTGGGACTTCTTCGCTTATCTTCCTCTCTGTCTTATTCGGTATTTGGGGGGAGAAATGGAGAGAGACCCGCGCTAGGTCGTTTCCGCGGAACTCCCCGCGGGCCGTGGATGAGGGCGGCGGGAGAGGTGCTGGTGACCCTCGAAGGCGCCCGCAGCTCCCCCGCAAAGGCGCTCCCTTACCCAGTGCGCTGCCTCCCCGCGCCCCGGCCGGGGCTGGACTGCGCGCTCGGGAAGGCAGGCATGGGTTCGCGGCCGGTGCGGCTGCCGCAGGCCGCCCGGCCCGGCTCCGACCCGCAACCGGAGTATTTTGCACGTTTGTTTGTTCCCCGCCTCTCTCAAAGCGCTATTAGTAAATGAAGAGAAACATCTACCCTTGGTCTGGTAAAAGATCTGACGCGGACGGAGAGACACGGTGAGGGGCTGTGGACGAGATGTGCATTTATTAACAAAGTCCTAAGGAAGAAAGTCCAAAACAAAGCAGTTTCCGCTGAGAGTTATCACTTCTGTTGCAGGTCCGTGCCCACGGATTATCCAAAGGAACCTGAAGATCCTACTCACACAGTTAAAGTCAAAAATCAAGAAAAAACGTAAGTCTGGTGAGTTCTCTGAATTTCCTTTTCCATCCGTCTCTCGCTTTCCCTATCGCGACAGGCCCGTCGCAGGGAGCACAGCCCGGCCCCGGCCCATGCCCGCCGAGCGGGGAGAGATGCTCGGTCGAACCCGCCGGCGGCGGCCCCCGGGCGCGCCGCCGCCCCGCAGGTCAGATAAAGAACGGCCCGCAGAAAGCCCCGCTGAAAGCCGCCCCTGTTCCGCGGAAGTCGAGCCCGGCTGGGGCGCAGCCAAGGCCTGGACCCAGCCGCGGGGAGCGGGTCGCTCCCTGAGGGGCTCCATAGCTGGTGTAAGAGGCCCCACGGCAGCCACTGCTCGTGTCTCGCAGGGCCCCTTCGCGCTCCCCAGTGCTCCCCCGGACGAGACATCCCCCGGCTCAGGCGCAGCCCCAGCGCTGGCTGCCCAGCTGCCCTGCTTGCGGCCGGGTCCGGCGGCGGCTCCAGCGCTTTCCTTATATACAGGGCTGCCCCGGGCCGGCGGCCGGGAAACGTGCCGAGCGGGGGATTCTTTTGCCGGGCTCCCTCCTACGCGCCGGCTGCTTTGCACTTCTGAAAGTGCCGGGGCTTGGGAAGTGTTTTCCTTTTCATTCCTGGCCGGAGCGTTTACTGCCACGGCGCTAGCAGTCATAAATTTTGCTACAACCGCAATGACAGGTGCATTGATATGCACCCTGAGAGCTCCGGCTGCTTTAATAACCGCTTCGCTGGCCGCTCTCGCCGCCTCTTATTTATTCGGTATCATATTAGATATTGATCCGAAGCAGAATTAAGTGTAGTGGAAGTTTTAGTAGAGAACTGCTTAATATGAAAGTGTCGGGAGGAAAGCGACTGGCAGCGCCGGGCCGATGTCAGCCTGGGCCAGCCGGGTTCTGCGCACACGCGCGAGTGGAGGCTTGGGCTCCCAGCCGCTCTCCAGGCAGAGCCCTGAGAGGGCCGGCATCCCGCAAAAGCACTGGAACCAGTGGCAGAACAAAAAGTCACATTATCATGTGCAAGGCCTAACAGTTCAGATGAGGTTAACCTTTCTGGAGAGGAAGAAGGGAAATCTGAAACACAGACATGGATACTTTGCGGTTTCCTACCCTCGGTGCCTCCAAGCCCACCTCCCACGGCCCGGCCTCACCATTTGGATGTCAGGTTTTTTTTTTTTTTTTTTTTTTTTCCCTGTAGGCTTTTTCTGGCCAAACCACCAAGTGTTGAGCCCCTGCTTTGGTGTTACCTATAAAAACATCACCCCGGGCCTTTCACTCGTGGAAAATCAAACCCTGGATAGGTCTCCCTCTCCCTCTTTCTCTCCCTCTCTCTCTTTTTAAGATCTAAAGATGAGCCACCAAACAGTTGAGCATTGTCCATGTGATTTATGGCCCATAGCCTCCTTTTTAGGTTCAAGCAGAGTTCACAAGCAGTTGGTATTTCAGAAAAGAAATAAGGCTTTTAACAGCTTAACAGCAATATTCTTTCTTAAGATTCTGTGTATTCTTTTGGGAACTATATATCACAAGGCATATAAAACCCTACGCTTAAGGCAGTGTTGTGCTAACAAAAGTCCTCAGTCCAGACCGGTCCCGAAAATGTAGATGACAGAAGTGGGAAAAAAGAGACAGAGTTATTTAGACAAAAATACTTCCAAGACTCGTCAATATTATCATGTCGTATTAAAACTTATTTTTATCGCCACTGTCCATTTCTTCAGACTTTTTAAACTAAAATTTTCCATGAGAGAAAAACAGTTCCCATTCTGTCAGCCCCACAGATCATCTCAAGCTTTTGTTTAGGAAAGAAAAGGACCCTGGCGGTCTGTGACACGGGATAAACCGCCGAGAGCGGCCGTGGATCTCAGCTCGCTGAGGTTGTTTTGACTTACAGAGATGTGTTTCCCGGTGGTTTTAGAGAAGAGGTCAACGGTACTTGGCGGGACCAACAGTACTTGCGAGAGAAGAGTACTCTCCTAGTACTGCATAAGTATGGGCAGGAGAACTATAATTGTCGGATATCTTTCAAAGATTTCTAGCTACTTTTCTCTGGTATCTTAAGTAGGCTTAAATCCTGCAGAAATACAATGAAGTCTTAAGATATGTTGATGTACAGACTTACGTTGCCAGGTGAAGTACGTGCTAATTTACAAAATTACCAAAATTGTCAGAGAAAACCCCTATCCCACAAAAAAAAAATTAAGAGCAGGGAATATTAAAAAGCCGCACCAAAACTGCAGAAGAATTTCCATCTTGTACTAAGCGCAGAGAAGTTTCGGGAGCAGCAAGGAGAAAGGTAACAGCACCCTGCCTCACAACATCTGCCCTAAGGGGACTGTGCTCTTTCGGTGGGAGCAGCCTCGTGTGGGAGCCGGGGGGAGGGGAGAGCCATAAGTTTGCAGGCCGAAAAAAAAAAAAAAAACCCTCTAAAAATTACCTCAAATGTCTCAGGTTCTTTCTACTGGGTACAAATAAAAGGGACGAGAAACGTTGGATGAGGGAATTTAATTCATCACAGAATTAAAATAGGGGAGCTGACCTGCGACTTCCTTTATAGTGCAAAGTTAAAGGGACTGAATGGCGCCGGTTATAGTTTAACTCTGGAGGAATCCAGGGAAAGAAGAAGGGCGGGTTTACAAAGCGGACGGGATTTTTCTGCCTCTGCCCGGCCGCAGTCCGGGCTCCATCCATCATGTCAACCGTGCCCGGCCGTGCGCACGCGTGCCGGGCGGGGGGCGCGGATGCTCTCGGCCGAGATGGGCCACTGGGTCTTTGGGGACACCACCCAGCACAGTTCCTCACGAAGAGCCCTTGCCTACGGCCGCGGGGTCCCATCCAGCCAAACTCGAGTGGGAACGGTCCAAAGGCAAAACAAAGCAAATAAAACATCCCCAAAATGCTTCAAAATGCGGCCTGTACGGTGTCCTGGCAATGTGCTCCGTATGCCCTCGCACCATCGCTCTCGGGTGGCTCTTTCCCTGCAGTGCCCCGCGTCCTTCCCTGATGCACTCTGCTCTCTCCCTAGTGTGGCCCACTTTGCCCTGACTCCTGCCTGGTGACCCTGCTCCTCCCCTCTTGTCCCCTGGTCTTTCTTTGGGTCCCGTGCTCCTTCCTTGATGTCTCCCAGCCCTCTCCTGGATAGGAGGCCGAGTGTGCCGGGGTGCGGGGGGTGCCGGGACCGGCCTGTGCCAGCCTGTTTCCCCTTCTAAAAGTCTCCCTTGTGTCCCTGCTGTTTCCCTCCTCAGGTGGCTGCGAGTGGCCCGGGCCGACGACGTGAGGCGCGGGGCGGCGGTCAATGTTATTTGAGCGGGGGCCGCGGGCCTCGGCGATCGCAGAGCAGAGGATGCAGAAAGCCGCCTACTACGAAAACGCGGGGCTCTTCGGGGGCTACACCTACAGCAAGGCCGACGCCTATCCCTACGGCGCGGCCCACCAGCCGTACGGGCAGACCGGCCTGGACGGCGAGTACCCCGGCTCCGCCTGCTCCGTCCAGGGCTCGGCGCCGGGCCGCGCTCCGGCCCACAAGGGCAGCGAGCTGAGCGGGAGCTGCATGCGGCCGGGCGGGGGCGGCCCCGGGGGCAGTCAGCCCCCGGGGATCGGCGAGCATCAGCCCCCGGCCCTGCCGCCCTCCTCCCCGCCCAACCCTCCTCCCAGTGTGCCCCCTCCGAAAAAAGCCAAGGGGGGCCCCAACTCCTCGGGCTCGGCCAGCGCCACCCTCAGCAAGCAGATATTTCCTTGGATGAAGGAGTCCCGGCAGAACTCCAAGCAGAAAAGCACCTGCGCACCCCCAGGTAGCCCAAAACCCCCGCCCGACCCACTGCTCGCTCGGGAGTCGGGCTGAATCCCTCGGGCTGAGCCCCCTGTCTGCTACTCCTCTAGCTGCCATCGCCCCCCAGTTCCCCCCCCGCCCCTCCGCTGAGGGGTCCCAGCCCTGCCGGGCGCTGCAGGTGGGACAGGCTGGGGGCGGGGTGCCGGGGACGCCTGGGCGGGAGGTCGCTGGTGGTCTCTGGGGGGAGGCAGATGCGGGAGGGTGTGCATGTCGGGCCGTCCCCGGACCCTCTGCACCCCCTCCCCGGGCGCCGACAGAGAGAGAGGGTGTATAGCAGGTTTCCGAGGGACTACGGGAGGAAAGGAGGGGGGGCTGTCTTTCGTGGAGGGAACCAATGTCTCTTTGTGCCTCTTCCCCGCAGGAGAGAGCTGCGAGGACAAGAGCCCCCCCGGGCCGGCCTCCAAGAGGGTGCGAACAGCCTACACCAGCGCGCAGCTGGTGGAGCTGGAGAAGGAGTTCCACTTCAACCGCTACCTGTGCCGGCCGCGCCGCGTGGAGATGGCCAACCTCCTCAACCTGACCGAGCGGCAGATCAAGATCTGGTTCCAGAACCGCCGGATGAAGTACAAAAAGGACCAAAAAGCCAAAGGCATCATGCACTCCCCCGTCGGACAGTCCCCGGACCGCAGCCCCCCTCTAAGCGGCCCAAACCACGTCGGCTACTCCAGCCAGCTCCCCGGCGTCAACAGCCTCAGCTACGACGCGCCCTCGCCCACCTCCTTCGCCAAGTCCCAGCAGAGCATGTACGGGCTGGCCGCCTACACGGCGCCGCTGAGCAGCTGCCTGCCGCAGCAGAAGCGCTACGCGGGCGCGGAGTACGACCCCCATCCCATGCAGAGCGGCGGCGGCGGCTTCGCCAACCCCAGCCTGCAGGGCAGCCCCGTCTACGTGGGGGGCAACTTCGTGGACTCCATGCCGGCCTCAGGTCCCATGTTCAACCTGGGGCACCTGCAGCACCCCTCCTCCGCCAGCGTGGACTACAGCTGCGCCGCCCAGATCCCCGGCGGCCACCACCACGGACCTTGCGACCCCCACCCTACCTACACGGACCTTTCCTCTCACCACACCTCTCAGGGACGGATGCAGGAGGCGCCCAAGCTCACGCATCTGTAGCGGGGCGGCGGCCAGCGGGCCACGCTCCCCTCTCCATTACCTCACTTTTCTGACGGGACAGTGTTACTGTGCTCTCGAGTGCCAACAGTATTAGTGGATTTGTCTCCCTTAGCAGCTCCCTTCTTTCTTCCGCAGCCCCGAGTAGGTCCGTGAGCGGGAGCCTTTTTCTTAGAGCTGTTTTAAGCATGACAGTGCAATATACTGCCAACCGAGGGACTGATAAGCTGGTAATGATGTACTTGAAGGTAAGTCTTAGAGATGCTGTAGTGTTAGCAGCGCGTCATGCTGAGGTGTTTTAGACCAGTCGTGAGCCGGCGGAACTCGCCCGTGCGTAAGCTTATATCAGAGAATTTAATTTATGGGTTCTTCCGTAACGTAAGGATTGCATTGGACTAAATGATATGTATTTATTATTTTAAGCGAGACATTTTTTGTATCACTGATTATTTATCCTCGTCTTAATGTATTTATGTGGGTATTTGTAGAGTTTCTTCACCAATATTTCGGGAGAGGGATTCAGGTCCTTGGTGACTTACATTTCACCTATTTAGTATAATCGGTCTGAACTAGTTGAGAGAGTAGTCTTGAACAGTTGTAACAGTGGCTGGTGTTTGTAGTTTATGTAAGGATTAATTAAGACAGCAAGTCGTAAATCATTAATAGCGTAAAACAAACTGTGGCATCACACAAAGAGCCGTTACACTTAGAAAATATTGAAAATATTTTAAAAGTATTTATTTCTAATTGGCTGCCCCCCCTAGAGCGCCTCGGTGGCTTGGCTGGCAGCTGGCTCGGCTGCATGAAGCCACCTTTAGATGGAAGCGCAGCCACTTTGTGGAGGCGATCTACAAAGAGGGGCTCTTGGCCATCTTGTTTCAGATCAAATCCTGCATATGAAAACCTCGGTGAGGTTAACATTTATTTATTGGCTGGGTATCTATCGCGCATATTATTTCAGTGGGCTATTTTCTTTTTTTTTTTTTCTTTTTTTTATTTTTTCCAATTACACTCTGGCTATCCAAAATAGAAAATAAATTAGAAGCTTAGAAGGCAAAAAAATTAGAAACCCTCTGATAGTGCTAATTTCATTAGGGTCTCCATAGCAATCCGCGCAGCAGCTGCCGCCTCCTTTGTTATTTTTATACTGTTGTCTTTATACTAACCATAAATCAATTTTTAGACATCTTTGGAAGGCCGAGCTTTTCCTCTTGGTTTTTTTTTTTTTTTTCCATAAATACAAACTTTGAAAGAAAATTGACAATCAGATACACACAGCCGAAGGGAGACGCTGAGACGGGGTGCGGGCAGTGGCTGGGCGGTGCCGCCGCACTCCCCCGGTGCCCGGCAAGGACAGTCCCACCCGACCTGACCGCGGCAGGGGGGCACCGCCACCTCTCCCTGCCACAAACAGGACAGTTAACACGGGGAAGAAAAAAAAATAAAGTAACAAGAAGATTAAAAAAATAGGAAAAAGAAAGAGAACAATGCTCTGAACCCTCGTGTTTCCTCCTCTCTAGTTACACGGCTGTATTGAACTCGCTGGATTTACAGAGATACTTCTTTTGTAAACGCTGTGATTAAAGTCTCTTCCTGACAGTACATATCGTTCTGAGAAGACTATTCTTATCTCTTTCTAAAAGTGTCGAGTTACATATTAATCCAAACTCCTATATTCCCCACCAAAGCATCTGATGCATCGCTTTCCAGTTTGACAAACACTGCAGCTCCTACTCCATCCTCTAATGACAGATCTGGCATTCCTATTGTGAGAAATATTTTGCTACCTCCCATCCTGGCCAATACAGACAAATTTTCTTTTATTTGTTCTTATTTTCTTTCCCGTCCCTGCTTTCTTCCTTGCCATTTGGTATATATGTTCAGCTGAGCACTAAGGATTCAAAATATTACTTAGGGTTTTGTTTTCCCCTCTGTGAGATTTCAGCAATGCTGTGCTACAGTGAAAAGTGTATCTTTTATTAAATTTCACATTTAACCAAGAAAATTTGGATATATGTGTTACAGGTCTGTAAACAAAACAGAATAGAATAAACTTCTTTGTTTGGAGACGTATTTTAACCCTTTTAAACCCTAAAATTGTATTCTATGGAAGCTTTCACACAAATTGTTTCTTAGAACAACACAAAAAGTAATGCTAGACACCACTTGTGATTTACACTTCTGTAATAGGCCATAAATATATATGTTTGTCTCTCCATAACTTTCTGCAATCAATGTGCTAACAAACAAAATTGTCCATGTAAGTTTTTTTTGTGTTCTTGAAACACAATATATTTTGCATTACCTGCTTCCCACCATTTCTGCCCAGTGTCCTTTTCCCTTTTGCTTTGTGCTCTGTAGGCTGTTAGTCAAACAGTGTCTGCCCCAACTTACACTATTAGTCCTTCATTAAATCTGTTAAGAAAGAAAAGGCTGCTTAGAGATCTGGGGAAGGAAGGGAGTTCAGAGGAGCCCTGACCACAAACCCTGAATTACTTTCATGTTGCAGAAAGACGGGGCCCGCAGACATGGTTTCCAGTGGGGGAGGAGGAGGAGATTGCATGAGGGAGAATCTTCTTGTAAATAAACTCACTTTCTTCTCCATGACTCTGGCAGAGTCCTCTTCTTTGTAATGCAATATAAATCCATGATGATAACCTAATTATTGAAGTAATGTAACTTTAGCAAGATTGCTGGCATTTTTACAATGTTTGTACAAGCATCAGCAATCCAGAGGAGAGATACACTTTGGCACAAGCCAGACTTTTTTTTGGCCCATCATTTAAAACCCATAAATTATAAACAACCTCCTTTCACACTCAACAGGAGCTCAGCTCTTTTGCAACAGCATCTGATGTGATGAACTCCAGTCACCTATTTAAAACACAACTAATCAGCCAAGGCCAGGCCTGGGGCTGATCTTAGCTTTGCCTTTTTTACAAATAGGAGGCACAGCACCCCTTCCTCTATTTCCCTGCTCCCTCCATCTGCTCCAGACCCATAAAAGGGTCAGTGAGCCAGGGCCTCTAAATGCCAGCAGTGGTCTTGCACTATTTGGGATAGGGAGCTGCTGACAACACTGGTTGAGAGGTGTCAGGGGTGCATTGAGTTTCAGTGAGGCCATGCAAGTTCTTCTGTTCAGATCAGTGGGGTTTGGATCTCGACTTTCTTGTTCGGCTTTTACAGTAACCCACCATTTAATGGCATTCCAGCAGTTTCCCCAGTGCAAAAAGGAGCTGAGGCTTTGTGTTGTCTCCATGCAGTCAGTGCAGGGCTGAGCTATCTCTCTGCATCTGTTTCTTTTCAAGGGGGGCCCCATCAGTGCCCAACTGTGCATGGCCTGGTTAGCAGCACCAGGCTAGGGGAACCTAGACAGGCACAGCCAGGGGCTTCCAGGGATGTCACAGTTTTGTAGGTGCCACTTGTGTTTGGCTGGAAAAACAAAGCCCAATGCTTCCTGCTCCATTAGCAAGTACTTCCTGAGCAGACACTGCAGGCTCCCAGCCCTGGTCCATGGGTAGGCCAGGGAAGGACTCTGGGGCATCTCCATGGCTTCCGCTATGAGACCACACCAGGGTCATCTGGGGCTGCAGGCAACCTTGTCCAAAGATGAAGAAGATGCAGCTGGCTGCACACCCAGGAGGCAAGGGTATGCAGGGAGGAGGCTGTCTAAGAAAGAGGGAGCCCACCAGCATCAACTACAAGTACTCTGACTTTCTTGAGGGCCAGCTGGGTCTTTTGGGCTCCATGGCCAAAAGTCTGAAGGCAAGATCCACCACTGGGGTGTCTGCACCCCTCCAGCCCTATAGGAAGCCCTTTGAAACAGCCTGCAGTGATATCCAGGCACTAAAAGGACTACTTGACCAGGGGAAAAAACAGGGTAAAGAGGATGTGCCTTCTGGTCTACCACTGGGAGGGTGTCTCACTGAGAGCTGTCAGCTGAGGAGAGAGCTGCAGGTTGTGATGCCATCTTTCTATATGCCAGCCTGCTGTGCGTGCCCAGCGGCCACACGCAGTGGCAGCCTGGCAAAGGCACAGTGTGCTGCACGGTGGGCAGGCCCCGATGTCCAGCACTCCACTGCAGACCTGCCTGGGAACAAAAGCTGGAGCTGGGCAGGCAGCACAAAGGGGGTTGTGCTGCCAGGGCAATTAGGGTCATGGTGGTTGGCTGGGTGTCACATGATGTTATGCATAGATGAACAAGATACCTCTGCTTTTAAAAGGTGCAAGATAAGCTGGATCAGAGCTCTGTTGGCTGCAGCCACTTTCCAGGGATTGAATGGCAAGTTAAATCCTGAACAGGCAATGTCTCTCTGCTCCCATGTGAGAGGCAGCAGTGGGTACCCCATGCTGCTTGCTTGGAGTGGGGCTGCCAGGGGAGTGAGAGGGCTGGCTCTATTAAGGGTCATCAATCACACAATGAGCACTTTTTACTCGACAGTGGGTCCTCCTGCTTCTGCTTGGACCTGAGCCAGCTGGGACCCAAGCAAAAACCCTGTCCAGCAGAAGCAAAAAGCAGTCCCAGAGCCTGAGAGCCATGGAGTAACAGGGCAGGACCGAACCCCTTTGGTCACATAGGCTAAGATACAAAACGGAACACGGTGAGGTATCTGTGCCTGCACATCCCTAGGCCTCTGCTGGTGCTGCTCAGGAGCAGAGGTGAGTCTTTGTGCCTCCTTTTCGAGCCCAAGGTCCTGAAGCTTTCTGACCATTCTCAGATGAATTACAGAAAGCTGCAGTGACAATAAGCACAAAGCAGAGTGAAAACAGCAAGGAATTTGTACTAGACAGGATGGATGTCTTCTGGATAAAAATACTAATGAATGTAGAATTTGAATGCTTCATTTTTTTTTATTTGCTGACATGCAATTTTCTTGCAACAGCTGAAATTTTGGGAGTGGTAGGCAATCCATGCTGAGTGAGGAATACAGCCTCAGTCTTTCCTCTAAGAAACCTGGTCTAGGTTTTAGGATCTTTGGGAGCAAGAAAGAGACAGAAATCTT